CAATACTAATATTGAATGTAAATGGCCTAAATGCTCCACTTAAAGGATACAGAATGGCAGAATGGATTAAAATCCACCAACCAAGTATCTGCTGTCTCTAAGAGACTCACCTAACGCATAAAGACTCACATAAACTTAACATAAAGGGGTAGAAAAGATATTCCAAGCAAATGGAAACCAAAAGTGAACAGGAGTAGCTATTCTTCTGTAAGACAAAACAGCCCTTAAAGCAATAACAGTTTAAAAAGACAAAGAGGGACATTATGTAATGATAAAAAGATCAGTCCAACAGGAAAATATCACAATCCTAAATATATATGCACCTAACACAAGAGCTCCCAAATTTATAAACCAATTATTACTAGACCTAAGAAATGAGATACAGATGACAGCACAATAATAGTGAGGGACTTGAATACTCCACTGACACCACTAGACAGGTCATCAAGACAGAATGTCAACAAAGAAACAATGGACTTAAACTATACCCTAGAATAAATAAACTTAACAGATATTTACAGAACATTCCACCCAACAACTGCAAAATATACATTCTTTTCATCTGCACATGGAACATTCTCCAAGACAGATCATTTGATAGGCCACAAAACAAGTCTCGATAAATTTAAAAACATCGGAATATCAAGTACCCTCTCAGACCACAGTGGAATAAAATTAGAAATTAACTCTGAAAGGAACTCTCAAAACTTTACAAATACATGGAAACTAAGTAATCTACTCCTGAATGACCTTTGGTCAACAATGAAATCAAGATTTTTAAATCAAGAATTTTAAAATTCTTTGACCTGAACAATAGTAGTGACACAACTTACCAAAAGCTCAGTGACACAGCAAAAATGGTGCTAAGAGGAAAGTTTGTAGCATTAAATGCCTACATTAAAAAAAAAAAAAATCTAAGGTCACACCTCAAGAAACCAGAAAAACAAGAATAAACCAAACCTAAACCAGCAGAAGAAAAGAACCAAGATCAGAACAGGACTAACTGAAATTGAAATCAGAAAAAAAAAAGCACAAAAGATAAGTGAAACAAAAAGCTGGTTCTTTGAAAAGATAAACAAAATTGATAGACCACTAACGAAATTAACCAAGAAAAGAGAAGAGATCCAAATAAACTCAATTAGAAAAGACATGGGAGATATTACAACTGATACCACAGAAATACAAAAGATCACTCACATACACAAACTAGAAAATCTAGAGGAGATGGATAAATTCCTGGAAATATACAACAACCCTCCTAGATTAAATCAGGAAGAAATAGAAACTCTGAACAGACCTATAACAAGTAGCAAGATTGAAACAGTAATTTTTTTAAATGCCAACAACAAAAAAGTCCCGGACCAGACAGATTTACAGCTGAATTCTATCAGGCATTCAAAGAATTGATATCAATCTTACTGAAACTATTCCAAAAGACAGAGAAAGGGGACTGCTCCCTAAATTCTTATATGAAGCTGGCATAACCCTAATGCCAAAACCAGGAAAGGACATAACAAAAAAAGAAAACTACAGACCAATATTCCTGATGAACAGTAATATAAAAATCCTCAACAACATACTAATTAACTGAATCCAACAGTATATCAAAAAGATAATACACTATGACCAAGTGGTTTTCATACCAGGGATGCAGGGATGGCTCAATATATGCAAGTCAATAAATGTGATATACCACATAAACAGAACTGAAAACAAAAATCACATGATCATCTCAATAGACACAGAAATAGCATTCCGCAAGATCCAGTATCCCTTTATGATTAAACCCTCAGCAAAATCAGCATAGAAGGGACATACCTCAAGGCAATAAAAGCCATCTACAACAAACCCACAGCCAACATTATACTGAATGGGAAAAAGTTGAAAGCATTCCCCCTGATAACTGGAACAAGACACAGATGCCCACTTTCACCACATTTATTTGATATAGTACTGGAAGTCCTATCCAGAGCAATCAGACAAGAGAAAGAAATAAAGGACATCCAAATCAGTAAAGAGGAAGTCAAACTGTTGCTGTTTGCTGATATGATCATATACCTAGAAAATCCTAAAGCCTAATCCAAAAACTCCCAGAACTGGTCAATGAATTTAGCAAAGTTTCAGGATACAAAATTATTGTACACAAATCAGTAGCCCTGCCATACACCAGCAATGACCAAGCTGAGTATCAAATCAAGAACTCAACCCCTTCTACAACAGCTGTAAAAAACCTAAAATAAAATACTTAGGAATATATCTAACCAAAGACATGAAAGGTTTCTACAAGGAAAATAAAACACTGCTGAAAGAAATTACAGATGACACAAACAAATGGAAACACATCCCATGCTCATGGATGGGTAGAATCAATATTGTGAAAATGACCATACTGCCAAAAGCAATCTACAAATTCAATGCAATTCCCATCAAAATACCATCATTCTTCACAGAACTAGAAAAAACAATGCTAAAATTAATATGGAACCAAAAAAAGAGCCCACAGAGCCAAAGCAAGACTAAGCAAAAAGAACAAATCTTGAGGCATCTTTGAACTGTACTGCAAGGCTACAGTTACCAAAACAGTACTGGTATAAAAACAGGCATGTAGACCAGTGTAACAGAATAGGGAACCCAGAAATAAAGAAAAATACTTACAGTCAACTGTCTTCAATAAAGCAAACAAAAACATGAAGTGGAAAGGACATCCTATTCAACAAATAATGCTGGGATAATTGGCAAGCCATATGCAGAAGAATGAAGCTGGATCCTCAACTCTCACCTTCTACAAAAATCAACTCAAGATGGATCAAAGACTTAACTATAAGATCTGAAACCATAAAAATTCTAGCAGATAACATCAGAGAAACCCTTCTAGACATCGGCTTCAGCAAAGAGTTCATGATCAAGAACCCAAAAGCAAATGCAATGTAAACAAAAATAAATAGATGAGACCAAATTCAACCAAAAAGCTTCTGCACAGCAAAAGAAACAATCAGCAGAGTAAACAGACAACCCACAGAGTGGGAGAGAATATTCACAAACTATGCATCCAACAAAGGACTAACACGCAGAATCTGCACAAACAAATTGCAAGAAAAAAAAAACAAACAATCCTATCAAAAAGTGGGCAAAGGACATGAACAGACAATTCTCAAAAGAAGATATATAAATGGCCAACGAACATATGAAAACAATGTTCAACATCACTAATTATCAGGGAAATGCAAATCAAAACTACAATGCAATAATACCACCTTACTCCTGCAAGAATGGCCATAACTTAAAAATCAAAAAATAGTATGTGTTAGCATAGATGTGGTGAAAAGGGAACACTACTACACTGTTGCTGGGAATGTAAACTAGTACAACCACTATGGAAAACACTATGGAGACTTCTTAAAGAACTAAAAGTAGAACAATTTGATCCAGCAATCCCACTACTGGGTATCTAACCAGAGGAAAAGAAGTCATTATATGAAAAAGACACCTGCATATGCATGTCTATAGCAGCACAATTCACAACTGCAAAAACAGTATTTCATTACATTTCCTTTTCATAAAAGGAAAAGCTGATACATTGGAATTCATCAGAATTTAAGAACCTGTTCTGAAAAGACAAGTCATGGATGAAGAGAAAATATTACAGAATATGTATCTGATGACATACTTGCATACAGAGCCTCTGAAGAACTCACAAAACATACAAACCAATAGGAAAAAATGGGCAAAAGATTTGAACACTTCACCAAAGATTATGCATAAGGATGGCAAATACACACATGAAAAGACGTGCAACATTATTAGTCATTAGAAAAATGCAAATGAAAACGACAATGAGATATCTACACATCTATTAAAATCACTAAAATCTAGAAGATTGACCATGCCAAATGCAGATGAACTGGAACTCTTATACACTGCTAGTAGGAATGTAAAATTATACAACCACTGTGGAAAACAGTATTTAAGAGCGCTTTTAGAATTTGTCTGGAAGGCTTGGAAAGCCCCAACAAAGAAAAGAAATTTAAAGGAAAACAGTAAGTTAAATATACATCTACCACATGACCTAGCCATTTCATTCCTACATATTGACCCAAGAGGAAAAAATACACAGTCTGCACCAAGACTTGTACATAAATGTATATAAAGCAGATTTGTGATAGTCAAAAACGAGAAGCAACTCAAATGCTCAATCAACAGGTGAACAGATAAGAGTGGTAAATCCATGTAATGAAATACTACTCAGTAATAAAAAGGAATGAACTGTTGATAAAAAGCAATAACATGGATGTCACTCGAAATAGTTATATGAAGTAGACAAAGAAGTGCACATACAATATGATTTCATATAAATCTCTTAAAAATGCAAACAAATCTATGGTGACAAAAAGCATATCAGTTGTTGCCTGGGGATGGGAGTGGTGTGGGAAGAAAGAGGGATTACAAGACGCACAAAGAAACTTGTAAATTATAGAGATTATCCATTATCTTGACTGTGGTGAAGATTTCACAGGATATACATAGATATCAAAATGTATCAAGCTGTATGCTTCACAGGTGTATATATATGCCAAATGTATCGAGTTATATATTTTAGATACATGGAGTCTATGTCAATTATACCTCGGTAAAGCTGCCTTAAAACAAAGCATAACCAACATCCCAAATCAGGATATTTATTAGACCATCTAAACCAAGCTTGTCCAACCCACAGCCCACAGGCCACATGCAGCCCAGGACAGCTTAGAATGTGGCCCAACACAAATTCATAAGCTTTATTAAGACATTATGAGTTTTTTTTTGTGGTTTTCTTTTTAAGCTCATCAGCTGTTGTCAGTGTTAGTGTATTTTAGGTATGGCCCAAGACATTTCTTCTTCTTCCAATGTGGCCCAGGGAAGCCAAAAGATTGGAGACCCCTGGAAACAAAGTAAAATACAATATGTAGAGGAGCTGCCAGGAGGTTAAAGAGAGTCACTTTTAGAATCCTTGTTATACCTACCTCAGTTGCTTGCTTTATCAACTTGCCTTCATTCTCAGGCTTGGGAATTGAGATCCACTCTGCTCTCTGGCTGGGTGTGGTCTCCAAGCTAAGGACAGGCTTCTCTCTAAATGATTTTGCAATCATATAGTTAACAAATATTACTATTTCATAATTATTGGAAAATCTGTATTACAGATTTGTGATTTTTAAGATGCCTTTTGGCTTCCAGACTAGGGAACATTTCCCTCCTAAGCTTGTTTCTGTGAACCCATTAGCTTTTATACAAAAGAACTGCTGTTTGCTGGTTTTCTGACAATTGTTTAAATGCTAATTAACGATAGCAAGAAGTAGTTTTGGGGGTTTCTATTTTTTAATTTGCTAATAATCTCTTTTTAATGTTTATCAAAGTGATACTTGCAGATTGTTGTTGTTGGTTCTGCTTTTTTTTAAGGAACCAGGACATAGGAATTTATAATGAAATACAAGGAGCCTTCCTCCTTTTCCTCCTCATCCCAGCCCTACTGCAGAGGCAAACTCCTTGAAATCTAGAGCTGTCTCTTCCAATAATTAGCTTCAGATCTCTAAGCAAGCTTGATGAGGCACAACACTGTAACTGCAACATGAATGAAATCAGTATATTTCTCACTGTAACATGAACGAAATCAGTATATTTCTGTCTGAAAACCAAATGTTACAGGAGAGGACAGAAATGCAAGGCAAGAACGTGCTTTCAAGCATATTAAATTAAGGTAGTACAGTAGCATAAAATATCTTGGAGTCCAAACGATCTAGGTCTGAATTCTGTGATTGCCATCCCACCTTGAGCTAGTTAATGTCTGACCCTCAGCTTGATTATCTTTAAAACAAAGATGAAAATATGTGTCTCACGGAGGTGTCAAGAGGGTGAAAAGAGACAGCACTGTACATCCGGTGCACCAGCAACTCAGAAACGGCTTTTTCTTTACCTTTTCCCATGCTTTAAACTCTTCTCCAGAAAAAACGAGTGTATGGGGCCGGTGGGACACCCCTCATTTTCAATATAGCTCCTCTCCAAAATTTCAGCCCCTCAACATTTTTTAAAGCAGCAACCATCACGTCGTTAAGGAAAGTGAATTCAGGGACTCTGCCAAAGGCCAAGTCACCGTTCATTGATTAGTGAGACCAAGAACAATACTGTAGGCCTCCTGCTAAAAGCCATTCGTGTCTCTGGGGTCTAGAGAATGGCCTTGTGGCTAGAAACGGCTGCAACGCAAGTCTGTGACCAGCAGGTCGCACGCCCAGTACAATCTGTGATCACCCAGGATCACACCGGCCTTCCCCTTGCTGGGGCAAGCTGGTTCGCACGAAAACCACGTCTGGGTTTGTTTTACAGAACTGCATTCCAAGTCAATCCTTCAAAAAACTTCCTCCCCCCAATCTTCTTACCCTTGCTGGATGCTTCTGCCCTGTTCTAACGTGCAGGCTGCAGGCTGCTTGGCTGGGAGCTGGGCCAACGCTGCGGATCCCACGGATTCTTCTAATTCAAGGGAGGGGGGGAGGGGCGGGGGAATGCTATTTAGACCTGCGAAAGGAGAATTCGAGCAAGCACCTTGACCGCTACGGGAGAATGGGCTCAGAGCTCTAGCCTAGCATAGTGCCTGGCTCCTGGTTAGGCCTCAGGAAATGCTGGGATGAATGGAGAGGGTTGTGGAACTAGCTTTTGCAGCGGGTTCAGTTCCTCCGCCAGAGAGAGACTTTGGAATTCCTGGGGACGGAATCGGAATCCGGGAGAGGATGGAGAAGGGCGCCTCGTCTCTGCCCTAAGCCCGATGGGAGGAACTTTTGCAGAACTACAGCCGGTCTTGACTCCGCCCTCGGGAGCCGCTGCCACTGCCTCACCTTTACAGGAGAGACAGCAGGAAGGAGGGAGCGACTGCCCGGCTTGTTTTGGTTAGCTTATAACAAGAGGTCGTGCTGAAATATTCACTCAGGATGGCAAACAGACAACACAATCGCCAGGTGTCTAAGGAGCTTTGAGGGTGGCCGGGCGCGGTGGCTCACGCCTGTAATCCCAGCACTTTGGGAGGCCGAGGTGGGATAATCACTTGACGTCAGGAGTTCGAGACAAGCCTGATGGTGAAACCCCGTCTCTACTAAAAATACAAAAATTAGCTGGGCGTGGTGGCGGGCGCCTATAATCCCAGGAGGCTTATAGGAGGAGGATGAGGCAGGAGAATCGCTTGAACTAGGGAGGCGGAGGTTGCAGTGAGCCCAGATCACGCAACAGTGTGAGGCTCTGTCAAGAAAAGAAAAGGAGAAGGGGAAAAGGAAAGAGAAAAAGGAAAAGGAGTTTGGAGGGAACGGCCGGCTGGGACCTGGAAGACAACCCAGAGGGGCTTCCCGGCCCGGGCACGGTGGCCTCGTGGGGAGGGCACCCGTTCTTGGGGCGGACCTGAGTGGGTCGCAGTTAAACGCCTGGGCGCAGGCTGCTGGTCCTTGGGCGCGATACTGACGGTTTGCGAGGCGGGTTTGGGGCGGGGTGGGGGAATCCTAGGGAGGCGGAGCGCGTACTCCCCGGCGGCGCCCGGGCTCAGGCCCATCCCGCCTCTGCGGCCTCGCCGGCCCCCAGGTCCTGCAAGGGACGACGCGCCTGGTCCGGGGGATCGTGGGCACCGGGGGCGGCTCGGGGAGGAGCCGCGGAGGGGAAAGCGCGGCGCGTGGCAAACGGTCGGGGCTCGCGGAGCGGCGACAGCGGCGCGGGCGCAGTGAGCGCGTCAGAGAAAAGAGTGGGGCGAAAATGGGGGAGCTGTAGGTCTTTTGGGGGAAGGAGGCGTAGGAGGTTTTCGTTGGGGGGAAGGTCGTGGAAACAGTAAAGGCTCAGAGGTGATGTCTAAACTGGCTGGAGAAGCTAAACGGTTTGGAACAGAGGCGTGACTTGGAGGCCTAAGTGGAGACCGGATTAGGAAGCCTTAGGAGGCACAATCGGGAGTTAAAATCTTGAACAATTCGGAGTTTTTTATTTTTAAAAATATATAGAAAATGTAATCTACACAAACATAGCAGGCAACATACCAAAAAGTACATGGAATACACATGTTACAGTCTCCCCAAAGTACCTTAATGTAGCAATTTCTCTTTGTCTGGACTAATACCCGGGGTTCTTTGTCCTACTCCAAGAAAATTAAGGAAGGGGACACAAGGTGAGGTGGGAGCAAAAGCTTAATAAGCAAAAGAAGACTCTCCACAGCGAGCTGGGTATGCCCTGTTGCAGCTGAATCCAAAAGCTTTTGTAAGAAAATCTCTTATCTCTGTAGCAGTTTGAGTAACTTCTCTTATCAGTAAAGCTGTCTTGTCTTCTGCAGCTGTGGTATGTCTCTAAAAAGCACAAAGCACCGCCTTCTTTGTATAACTGGGAGTTGTTTTAAGTAAGCCCCCCTCCTCCCTGCACAAGTTCCCACCATGTATATGCCTGAAAAGGGGAGGAAACTTTCCTGGGAAAACTCGCTAATTACACAAAGAACAAGGGGCTTCTGTGCTGGCCCCTGTCTGCTTATCTGCGTGCAGGTGCAGCCTGCGTTTTTTCCCAGGTCGTTTTATTTTTACCTGTTGCGGTGACTTTTCAGGCAGGCCGCTTCCGCAGTGAGTCTTCCCCAACTGAGTTTCCCTTTCCTTCTCCCTCACACATAGTTATGAAACTTAATAAAATTACTATCCATGACAAAACCATCCTAGTTAAGAAATGGAACATTCCTAGTACAGATGCTCCCACCTATGAGTTCCTTCCTTATCCCGTCTCCCTTGGCATGCCCAGCTTCTATCCTGAGCTTTGTGTCTGTCATACCACTTTTTTCAATAGGTTTTTAAATTGCTTCTTTGTGTCCCTAATACATTACTTCGTTTTGCTTCTCTGAAACTTTATAAAAACGGTGCTATGGTCTGGATGTTTGTGACTCCATGAAACTCATGTGCTAGAATCCTAACCCCCAAAGTGATGGTATCAGGTGATGGGCCCTTTGGTCATGAGTGGGATTCATAAGTGCCCTTATAAAGGAGGTCCTGCAGAGCTACCTAGTCACTTCCACCATGTGAGAACACAGCCGCCGCCATCCATCTGATAACTGAGACCAGTCCCTCACCAGACAGGAATCTGCTGGCACCTTGATCTTGGACTTCTCAGCCTCCAGAACTGTGAGAAACAAATTGCTGTTGTTTCTAAGCCACCCAGCCTCTGGTATTTTGCTATAGCAGCTCGAATGGACTAAGACAAATGGTGTCATGCTGTGAGTTCTCTTCTGCAGGTTTCTTCTTTTAAAGTTGTTTCTATAATACAGACTTAGTGCTCTACAGTCCTGTAATTCATTTTTACTGCAGTAAAACCTTCCGCTCTGTGACGATAACACAATTTATTGATCAACTAATAAATCCACTAGGTGGTTTGTTGTTTGTTGTTGTTGTTGTTGTTTTAATCTAATTTGGAGCTGGAAACAATTGAAAAGAACCCAAATTGTATCCTGGTATATGCATTCAGATATCCCACAAGATGTAATACCTAGAAGCATATGCAAATATCCAACTTTACAATAAAACACTAGAACTTTTTCCCAGTTGGTGGTCCCAATTTCACTTCTACCAGCATAGGTAAGAATTATTAATTTACGTCCTCACCAACACCTACTACTGTCACACTTCTTGATTTTTCCAGAAGAGTGAATGTAAAATAGTATTTCACCAGAATTTTAATTTGCATTTCCCTGATTGCTAATAAAGTTGAGACCTTTGCATCTATTTATCATATTCCCTCTTTTAAAAAGTGCCTGCTCATGTCCTTTGCCCATTTTTCTTTGGAGATGTGTTCTTTTTTATTTATAGGAGCTCTTTGTATATTCCTTTTTTTTTTTTTTTTTTTTTTTTTTTTTTTTTTTTTTTTTTTTTTTTTTTTTTTTTTTTTTTTTTTTTT